TTATTTAATATTTATTAATAATTAATATTAATTTATTATTAATGATAATAAATATTATTAATTAATTTATTATGATATTATTAATTAATTTATTATTAATGATAATAAATATTATTAATAAGGGTCATAATCGGAAAATGTCACAATAAACTTCCAAAACCTTACTCAAAGTAGTGTTTCAATAAGTTAATTTCTTGTTAGTCAAACATGTACACAGAAAATAAGCTAGCTTATAAGCTACTTTATGTTTGCCAAACAATGCCCAACTAGCGTTTCAATAAGTTAAGAGGAGGAGCGTAAAGGATATATGTTATTTTGATTTTTTTTTTTTTCATTATTTTTGTGTTTTGTACATATTTAATTATGCACATGTATACATATATGTTACAGGAGGAGGAGGAGGAGGAGGAGCGTAAAAGATATAGAAATATATATATTTATGTAGTTTAAATTCTTCTTAAAAAATATATTAATTATAGCATTAATTATCTATAAATTATTTTAAATTTGTAGTTTATAATGGATATCACATATATTGATAAGTTTATAAATAATTTAAGTATAAGTAAATTATATAAATCGTCCTAGTGTTATTTTTTGTTTACAAGATAATATAATTGTGTTACTTTTGTTAAATTTAATATTTATACTATATTTTAAAACATTTGATAAAAATTCTTAAAAACAATTTTTAATGCAAAAAGTATTGTTTATTGTTACATATTATTTAAAATTAAAGATTACAAATAAAATTGTATTTAAGTACAACTTACTAAAACTTCATGTTTGAATTCGTATAATTAACTGTAAATAAACATCTAATTTAAAATTATAAAAAATTTAAGATATAATCAAGATAACATTGAGTTCTAACAGAATACTTGATTATCATCTTTATAAAAAAAACATTACTTTGCTTAATTATCATCTTTATACTTAATTATCATCAAACTAAAGCATTATACAAAAAAATAGAGCTTTTAAAGAAAGTCGATTACAATCTATATTATAGATATTGAATCACGTAAGATCAGTCTGTTTTTGTGAGATCTGTGAGATCATTTTTGTACACTTGAGACTTCACAACAAAACACTATGAATGTGACATAGCAAACACACTGTGAAGGTTACATTCACAGTGTTTTGCTGTGAAATTTCAAATGTAAAAAAGTGGTCTCACGAAACAGGTTGGTCTCACATGAACCCAACCCCTATACTACATTATAAATTATATGATAAAAACTTTTAAAAATTATTTTTGATGCATGAAATATTGTTTATTGGTGGATGTAACTTAAAATTCAATACTACAAGTAA